AAACAAGTTCCTGTCACTTCATCGATTTCGTAAGGCGCTGTGCGCTGTTGCGCCGTTGCGTTGCCTATAGTAAACAGGGAATTGTTTATGCAGGTGACGGCTCAATGATACTTTATGACCCCTATGTCACCACAAAAGAAGGGAACGGGGTATAAGCCGTACGGATCAGAATAAGTGACTAGAGATTGCTACTGTTATAGTTATCGAGGAATCAATCTGTTGGTAAACCCATAATTTCCGGGTCAATTTCTATCACATATGCCTAAGGATCGAAGTGAATCTGCTCGTGGTCGAACAGGTCATTGCTCTACGCAAGAAAGTGATGCAATGTCGTCCTCCGTTTAAACAGCCCCATAGGGACGGTGCGATCATGCCGTACGAATTCCAAACAGTGACAGGATACTGTTTAGTTTATACATTAGCCGGTGTTTTGAGCAGAATACTGAACGACGAAACAGAGTAATGAATTTCTGCTTTCGTGTACGCAGGTGATCATACAGTACAGCCGTGGACTGCTTAAAAGGTATCATGCCAAACGACTAGAAGTAACTTGAGTTTAATAATTAATCGAATAATTCGTTGATACCTGGTTACGATACTTAGACGTAAAGCATGTAGGATGAGGTATACCTTAACAGTCAAGGAGCTTTGTTGATGACGCCTACAGTATCACCATGTTAGGTAAGTAATAATAAAGTGAGCCGTTAAGAAATGTTTAATGATGAAATAATTTAATTATATTTAAATGAATTAGTAGTAATAAAGAGTATCCTTACTATAAGTCTGATATCTGATCTGTTTGTGCAATAAGGCCATTTACGAAGAGTGATCGAAGAGTCTGAAACATCACAAGGTATGGTCTCTTCTTGAGCAGCGCATGTTTGAGAAGGGTAAACAGAAACAGCGAATAAGAAACAGCCACAACAGATGCTGTCTTACCTCCATTACCTCTGAACTGATGCTTTAAGCTCAAAGGCAGTCAGCTGCCACTATATCGCAATAAATCAGGCAGTGTGACCCGTATTCACCAAAACCAGATTCTGGCCACCAAATCTACTGGAGCACGCTACTTACGAGCTGTACATAGTTAATGGCGCCACTCCGTAACTGGCGCAAGGCGTCTAGCGCCGTATTGTCGATCGGGAAGTCAATGCCGCGCTTCGCAGAGATGTCGATGCCGTTAATCGACTTTCGCTTGTTGGCGACGTCCATCGACGGCCATGGGTCAGGCGCGTTCTCCTGATCAGTGTGAAGGAACTTTTGCGAAATGTAGCGTTTTACGGCAGTGGTCATGACCTCTTCCTGAAAGTCGCAAACTGAGTTAGTGTGTATTTTGAATACATATGACAGTAAGCTACAAAAATAATAGAGATAATAACACAGTATACAAAATATATAGACAATAAACATTTGGGTATGTACATGCCTTTGACGAAGCGTGCATGTCGTACTTGATGCAGCCATTGCCGAATTGCTTTTTCAACGTCATCTGTGTCGACGCGTACAGCATCTTCTGCCTGATCTGCAACGGTGATGATAACTCTGTCACGTCAAAGCAGTTTAAACGTATACCGATGCATCGTCAGGAACAAACGTCACGAACAGCCATTCATAGTCATCATGGGTTCCGACCCGACTGTCGAGCCTCAACAGAACATAGCACGGCTGGCGGTCTTCAAAACACTCCTTTGACATCCGACCGTAATCTACCTCCCAACTTTCGACCGCCTTGAAGCTCTGACTTAGTTCTAGCGT